AAATTAAAAATTTCTAATTTACCAAAAGATGAAATTTACGAAATGATATAGATTCAAATTAACTTATTAAGAGCTTTTTAAAATTAAAAATTAATTTGTTAATATTATTTAATTATTTATATAATAATTACTCTTGTGTCATTTGTTATTGATAAAAATAGAAACATCATATTTCATACCATTCTTCTTTTCTACCTGAAAAATGAAATCAGCCAATTAAAAGGGATTCACACCAAACACCTAATATTTAATTGGCTAATTTCGTTTTTTACATTTCTTTTATCACGTGAAATTATCTTCGGAAATAGAGAAATTAGCAAAATATTTACTATTAATATTAATATACTAATACTATAACACAGGTGGCAAATTTTGAAAATTATATTACAAAATAGCGAAATTTTAAACCCTTATAACTTTTGATAGAAAGTTTAAATAAAAAAATCTGGCTGCAACAAACTATTCCTTGACTTCTAAATTAAATTTTTCGAATTAATTGCCTCCCTGAAGAGCAGATACCATTTTTGTAAGCCAACAATAGTTAATGGCTTTGCTGTCATCCACTGTAAAATGCAAGTATTGACAAAACATTGGATTCCAGTCGAATTATTAAAATAGTACAGAAAAAAAAATCTGGAAATGCCAATGCAGAAAGAGGCTGCAGGGTCCATCAATTATGCCACAACCGCTAACCAAACTAGAGTTTGCATATCAAACCAATAATTAAAGACTAGCTAACCACAAAATCAGCAGTACAGCAATCAAACAACTCTCCAAATACCAACCTGACTGGGCATTGTAAACCAGTCCAGTTATTGGCTAGAGCAGAAACATTGTTTGTTAATTCCAATGAATAATCATTTGTTTCCCTAATACTAAGTGATGACAAGTGGCGATAACCAGATAAAAATAATAATACTTGCTTACTTCTTGATTGGTTTTCATTTCTTTAATTTTTTTTTAAAAAAAAAAAAAACAAATACATAAACAAAATGTTTATTATTAGCATTTGGGGGACAGACATGAATTGAAATGTGGAGCAAAGTTTACTGGATAGTTATAAGATTCTTGATGATAATTAATGAATGATTGGTGGTGTATTTGCTTTTGTAATATTAAGCAATCACAAGGAAGCATCAAGGGTTAAGAAAGGTAACATAATTGTTAAAGATGGGAGAGAGAAAAAATTGTTCTAGGTGATTTTGATTATCGAAAATTTACAAACATTAAAGTGCACTTGCTACTTTGAACTCTTTACAGTCATTATCATGTTCCTTGTGTACACAAGGCTAATCTGGCCATAGCTCTTGATTATTTTAGAAATATTTTAGAAATATTTTTTAATTGTTTTCATTAAAATTAAAAAATTTTTCATCCAAAAATCCTTTTCCAAAATGAAGGTTTCTTAGCACCTTCAACTATTTTTGCTTTGGCTGCTTTATCAATTTCTGCAATTAATCTGGTATAATATTTTGGGTTTGATGCTGGTGTATGCATTTTATCTGAAAGTGGATACTATTATTGTTTTATGAAAATTAATATATAATATTGATATATATTAATTATTTATTAAATGAACGCTGACCTTTTCCTTGAACTCATTATTTGCTAAACGTTTTAATGCATCTAGTTCAATTTCTGCCTCAGTAACCAATTTATTGTGAACTTCTGGGTCATTAATAATCATATTTTTCTGAAAACCTTCAGTTACCCGTAAATGTAAAACTTGTTTTAAATTACGATTTGGTCTTAAATGGTCAGCAGGCCAGTTTTCTATTACATGTAAAAAAGAACGATAAAGTTGTAGAATTTCTGCATGTGTTGAATTTATCATTCTTTAAAACAAATTTCAACCACTTCAAGAAAAATTTTATTTTTTTGTGCACATCTTAATTTTTTATGATTTTGAGAAAAATGGAAAAGATTTACATTAAAGGAGTTTACTATATTGACTAGGTGTAACCCATCAGCTTCGCTGATGGTTTACATCTAGAGCACGCTATAAATAATCTTGTAATTTTTTTTTTTATTCAAAATTATTTGATACTGTAAATTCATAGGATTAATAAGTTTAGTTGCATTTATTATAAATATGTATAAATTTAAAAAATAGCAAAAACTAATGAAAAATATAATAATAATATTTTATTGTGGAAATTTTATTGTATCACAATTTAAAAATCATTTACATGTGGTAGTCTAAAAGTTATACATCACAACATATTTATTTACGTGCTTGTGGTAGTCTAAACATAACCCAACAATACAATTATAGATAGATTGCATCACAACATATTTATTTGCGTGCTTGTGGTAGTCTAAATGTAACCCATTGATACAATAATAGATAGATTGTGACACATGTTTGTGTTATTGAACAATTCAAAAAACATTATTTATGCATGGCAGCCTAAACGTTACATTTATTTATGCGTGTGTGCCATTCTAAACCTTAGGACACATGAACACAACGTTTTTAATATAATAGAAGATATTGTTTTTTGCAGGGTTGGCAAATGTGCGGTCCATTGATGGTCCATTGGTGGTCCATTGGGTCCATTGGGTCCATTAGTGTAAAACTTTGATCATATTTAGTATTTTATTAATGGCAATGGACCAGTCTAAAATCCATCTGTTCTCAATGGCCAGTCAATTTGCCAACCCTGGTTTTTTGAAACTAACTCAAAATATAATATGGGGGCATACTGCAACAAAACCAGACAAAGTGAATGTTTGTATTATCAAGGATTTCAGGGATCAAAATTTGTAATGTGATTAATAAATCTCCTATTTGTTTGTTGTTATCTTTGTTTTTTCCTTAATATTAAGTGATATATAGAATTACCTCTATATAAAAATAGATAATATGAAGCTAATTTACATCAGATCTAATATGGAACCCAAAAATTACAGCACCATTAGAAGTATTTTGAAGAAAGAACAAGGTGAAAAAATTGCTCCTTATATTTTCAAAATAAATGATACTTAAACACTTGAAGCTTATCTAAGAAAAAAAAGAATTACTTGTGAAATTTATCAAGCAGAAAGAAAAATCATAACCAGTAAAGAACTTTGCCACAAAATCATGAAGAATTTAGGAAGAAAAGAAAATTGGAAGGGAAATAATTTACTACCCAACTTAACATAGGTGAGCATGTGTTTGTTATATCTGAATTCAAAATCTTGTTCAAATTCAAATATCCAAATTGTTTTAATAGTTTTGAATAGCATTTATTACTTCATACTGTCACCGGAATGCGAATTTGACCTTAATTCGCTGATCAATAACCCCGAAAATCCGGAGTAATATTATTCATATGGTTGGCACAGTCTAAAGACCTCCAATTGCTGCGCCACGCGCTCAAATTTCAAAAATTGCAATTTCCCAAAATTTAGGATGTCTTTAGACCAAGCCAACTATATTGTTTATTTAAATTATTTATTTGGATGCATTTATTATTTTTATATAGTTATTTATTATTTATTTATTTTATCTATTATTTATTTTTAATATCCTATTTTTATTTAATTATCCGAATAATTTAATTAGTTATTATTATGAACTCGTGTTACCTTCCGCAGATTCAATTTATTCGTATCACGTTAGTATTAGGCCTTTGTTTAGTAGAAATTAATGAAAATTATCCCAGATTGGGATACATATAATTTAACATGTATATAAGGAATGAGAATTCGCTGTAGTCGAAGAATAACTTTGTAACAAATTAACTTAATAATAAGTTAATAATTAATTTTGACTAAATACAAAATTAAATAAAACAAAATTATTTGCTAATAAATCTAATTCATTAGTATTAGCCTATTCACTCTGATCCACATAAACTAATAAAAATTTGTTATCATCATGCTCTCCAAAAATTAATTGGTGACAATACAAATAACAGATAGGAGGCTGGAGTTCAGATATAAACTTTAGACTCCAAGATTTGAAAAAATTTCTTTTTCAAGATACAAGAGGATCAGGCTATAAAATACATTTTGAAGAACCAATTGTTTTTCAGATAAAAAGCATCTTTATTTTATTTGTTAATATTAAGGGACATATTTATAACATTTTTATATTATTGCCTTAGGCACTCAATGCAATAGTAATAAAAACAATTTATTCAGAAAAAAAAAACAAATATTTCAAATAATATTTCTATATATTCAAAAAATTGACCAAGTAATTGTATTCATTTTTTTTGTTATAAAGCCAATTATTTTAATATTCTTCAAAAATTGTCCATAAACCAAGCTGATTTTTGAATCAAACCTATTTTATAACAATTGCCATAAAGGAAGAAGCCAGTTTTAATTTACACAAGAAGATTATGTGCTGTTGTTATTTGATTTTTAATGAAAAGAAAAATCCAAATACCTCTTCAAACTATTGTTTCCTTAAACCTTGCCTTGTTTCTAAAAGATGTGGGTAATTTAACTATAATTGGTGCTAAATCACCTTTTATTAAATTATTGTATTTTTGCTCTTCTTGAAGTAGAAAAGTCCTGATTATTGCTAATGCAACACCATGATCATTTATATCACCAATTGAAATATAAAATTCATCATCTTGTTTGATTATAAAATAAATAATCCAACTTTCTACACAATCCATTAACACAACTATAGGACCTAAAGCAAATATTTTATCCGCTATCAATAGCTCTCCTATTGCTTGAGCTTCACCTTGGTGTACATCTTTTTGATCTCAACCCAGATACAGGATGTCAGGGTTGGCAAATGTGTGGTCCATTGATGGTCTATTGGTGGTCCATTGGGTCCATTAATGTAACACTTTAACCATA